AGAGCCCCTCACCAACATCAAGGAACCTTCCGTGAGGGGTCGGTGACTGGAACACATAAAAAACAGCACGTAGGAGAGGGGAGCTTACGACGACGTTTCGGTCAGACTTGGACCATTTACAAAGTCATACTAACAGAAAGGATGTATGTATGTATAATGTTCGCCAAGACCAGGGTCCTGGCACGGGTCTTAATCTTGAGATGACCCGTCTCTGGCTCCTGAAGGTGAACTGATTCTTCATTGTTGCAGCATATGCTGCTCAAGCACTGTTCAGGACAGTTCAGCTAGTGTGCCTCATAAGCGACCATGATTTGGTACTGAGGTTACTCCATCTCAGCTGTTTCCTGAGCTGGGGACTGGGTTCTGTCCGCTCTGATAATCTGCAGATTCATGGCATCCACTGTCTCCTCCTCTGTCAGTAAGCATACCCTCAGGAGTGTGCTGACCATCTGCCGGAAGTTGCTCTGTTGTTCCGTGGAGGTGATTGTGTTGCAGATAATATCCGTGAATGCCTTGATGAGTGTTAAGAGATCCTCCCTGTTGAGGGCCTGCGTTGTCGGTGGGTTCGAAGCAGTGGATATTATCTGGGCTGTTGTAATCTGTGGGGACAGATTGCAGAAAAGATAGGAGGCAGTATATATAGGACGGGAGACAGGAAAAGACAAGAGAGGTAGCTGGAACGGAAGTAGAAAGGTAGTGGTAGAGGTAGTAGAAGAAGTAATGGAGTCAGTCAAAGACTAAGAAAGAGGAGCACTGGAAAGGAGCTAGGGGCCCACAAGGGAGCTAGAGGCCCACAAGGGAGCTAGGGGCCCACAAGGGAGCTAGAGGCCCACAAGGGAGCTAGAGGCCCACAAGGGAGCTAAAGGCCCACAAGGGAGCTAGGGGCCCACAAGGGAGCTAGAGGCCCACAAGGGAGCTAGAGGCCCACACGGGAGCTAGAGGCCCACAAGGGAGCTAGAGGCCCACAAGGGAGCTGGGGGCCCACAAGGGAGCTGGGGGCCCACAAGGGAGCTAGGGGCCCACAAGGGAGCGCTAGGGGCCCACAAGGGAGCTAGGGGCCCACAAGGGAGCTAGGGGCCCACAAGGGAGCTAGAGGCTCACAAGGGAGCTAGAGGCTCACAAGGGAGCTAGAGGCTCACAAGGGAGCTAGAGGCCCACAAGGGAGCTAGAGGCCCACAAGGGAGCTAGAGGCCCACAAGGGAGCTAGAGGCTCACAAGGGAGCTAGAGGCTCACAAGGGAGCTAGAGGCCCACAGAGGGTAGGAACAAAAACACAGAGGAGAGGGAAATAAGTAATAAAGAAAACCCAAAGGACAAAGAGGAAAGAGGAAAAGGGAGAAGGAGAAAAAAGAATCAGGTAAAGTCATGGGTGTTCTGAAGTTTGGGGTATTTTACAGAGTTACGGGAAAGGAAGGCATCTACAAAGACAAAGCCACGACTAAGATTCATACAAGGAAAGCTGTGTATAAGGGAGGATTCAACCCCACCTCTGGGTTTTCTTCTGCATTGGGTATTTGGTCCTTCATTATTTATCCCCCCCCCTTTGTGTTTTTGTTCTTACCCTTCGTGGGCCCCCTAGCTCCTTTGCAGTGCTCCTTATTCTTAATATTTTATTCCACTACTACTGCTACTACTATCTCTATCACTACCTCTCTACTTCCTTTCCTACTACCTCTCTTGTCCTATCCTTGTCTCATGGTGGGAATAAATGGTATAAAATACCGACACAATGGAAATATAAACACAAATGCAGTACAATGTGATCCTTTATTGACAACGTTTCACCCACACAGTGGGGTTTCTCAAGTCACACACGGATCTACGTGTGTTAGATCCGTTAGATCCGTGTGTGACTTGAGAAAGCCCACTGTGTGGGTGAAACGTTGTCAATAAAGGATCACATTGTACTGCATTTGTGTTTATATTTCCCTTGTCTCATGGTCTATGTATACTTCCTCCTCCTCTCCTTTCTGTTAGTGTGACTTTGTAAATGGTCCAAGCCGGACCGAAACGTCGTCGTAAGTTCCCCTCTCCTATGAGCGGGTTATTTGTGAATTTACTCGCTAGTAGTTAATGACAGTGTCTTTATTCACAAAATTAACAGATACAAAAATATCTCATTTTACTTCTCTAACATATTTTTAGCGGTATTAAAGAGTATGAGTAATTTATTGTACACTGTCACTTTAGATTATATCAGTTTTAATCAAATGATAGATTTTACCGTCGAAGTGGCTAGTTAATAAGAACATAAAGAAGGAACACTGCAGCAGGCCTACTGGCCCATGCGAGGCAGGTCAAGCCCTAACCTAGTTAGGTCAGGTGATGGCCTCATATCCATCCTGTGGAGGGTAGAGCAAGAGCATATTGATACATAAAAGGCCTAGGAACTAGGGCCCTAAAGGGTTAACAGAAGTACATCTGGATTTAGATCTACAATTGATTTATTCGTTGCTAGCAATTTAGAAAATTTACTTAATATATCTAGTATCTTATTTTCATTAATAAGATATCTTGACATATCACAGAGGTTATCATACTGTCTATCTCTATATTCCTCAACAAGCGGACAACAAAGCACAGTGTGATCCAGTGAATCTCACTGATACCAATAATTTAGTTAACGATTTAAATGCTTTATTACAAATAAAAATAAACTAGTGAAGCGGTGTTTCGTAATATTTACAATTTACTTTTCGTAATATTTACAATTTACTTTTCGTAATAATTACAATTTACTTTTCGTAATAATTACAATTTACTTTTCGTAATATTTACAATTTACTTTTCGTAATAATTACAATTTACTTTTCGTAATATTTACAATTTACTTTTCGTAATATTTACAATTTACTGTCGATGAAAACTTTCATGTTGAATTGAAACTCCAAGAATTGTAGCAAGACAGTCACACAAGGAACATCAGTCATCTTAGGCTAAGTGAACTAAAAAAGTGCTGGTACTCAGTGTCATGATAGATTCTGCAATTAAATGTTTGAAAGAATGTCTTATTGTAGCGCTAAAATATTAAATTCTTTCTGTCTTAACATTTTGGTACCGTCAGTAGTATTTAAAATGGGATCTGATATTTTCAAAGTTACCTTGATAATATTTGGCAACACACTGGTGAACCTTTTCAAAGAAATGTTTTTGGTTCTATTAAAGAACCATTGGAAGCTGCTGTTGATCTTTGGAAAATTAAATGGCATGGAAAAAATTATACTGGTTTTTATTACTCATTGTTGACATTTAAAACTCAAGAATTCATAAAAAATGGCACCATCGCCGGTCTATCGCCCCCATCCTCCCATCCTCAGTACAGGCAAGGATGATCCCTTTCCACAGACAATACCTGGATCTTCCCATGAATGGGAGAGCAGCTCCAATCCCTTATACCAAGAGCCCTTAGTCGCATCAAGGGACACCCTCTGAAGGGAACTGAATGGTTGGTCACTTAAATAATTTACTATACAGGATGTCTGATGAAATTAGCTTAAGGATCCTTCCAGTCTAGTAACTTTGTAGGACACACGTAAAGGATACTGGTCTGGAGCTCAGGGCTTCCTGTCTGTCCCAGTTTTTTTTTCAGCTGTCCTGTGTCTATGGCGAAATCCTGTCCGGCCGACTTATTTAGTACATATCCTAACATTTTACATGCTTGTTAAACGATTTTTTTTACATGAGTAGTAGTAGTAGTATTATAATCATAACTAAGCGCTAAACCCACAGCAGTTGTAGTAGTATTTATTATCGTCAAGTCATTTGTCGATAACACTTGACTCATGTTGTGGTAGGGACGCTCTATCTAACTGATTGCAGAGTGGTTCGTCTTTCCGCCTCTGCTACTGCTACTCGTTTCACTCTCCTGGTTGCGTGAACCCTATCATACCTATTCTTAAAACTATGTATGAAGTCTGCCTTTACCATTGCACTGTCTAGGTCGTTCCATTTCCTGGCCACTCTAAAGCTAATGAAGTATTTCCTAGCATCCCTGTGACTCACCTGTGCTTTTAACTTGCAGTTGTGATCCTGTGTGTGAGACACTCGCCTCTCAGATACACTCTCCCTGTCCACCCTCTCAGTTCTTCTCATTATTTTGTACGCCATAATCATATCACGTCTGGTTCTTCTGTCCTCTAGTGTCGTCAGTTAAGATCCTCTTGCCTCTCCTCATACTTCATACCCTTCAACTGTAATAGTGTGTGTGTACTTACCTATATGTACTCACCTATACGTGGTTGCAGGGGTCAACTCATAGCTCCTGGCCCCGCCTCTTCCCTGGTCGACACTAGTCACTCTCTCCCGTTTCTAGTGTCTTATCGTACCTCTTCTTAAAGCTTTGTACGAATCCTGCCTCCACTACTTCACTCTCCAGGTTATTCTACTTCCTGACAACTCTAAGGCTAAAGAAATACTTCCTAACATCCCTATGACTCATCTGGATTTTCAGCTTCTAGTTGTGACCCCTTGTTCCCGTGAACCATCTCTGAAATAATTCCTCTCAGTATTGTATAAGTCGTTAGTATGTCTCCCCTATCCCTCCTATCCTCTAGTATCAGGTTGAGTTCCCTTAACCTCTCCTGGTAAGACATGCCCCTCATTTCCGGGACTAGTGATTAAAATATTTTTATTATTTCATTCAACAACTGCCTGAATGATGGGCAATGGTTTCTTTTATGTGGGTGACAATACTTTAGTCAGTTGGTTAATGGGGAATTAAAGCTGACATTAGCTACACGAGGGTCATTAAGGCTGCAAGTATCCTGCTTGCCACCAGTCAAGAACTCCTTAATTACTTAAAAGGGTATCAAAACAGCCCCTACGTGTAAACACCTGGAAATATACACCTCTTGGAGTACATGCTCTCGCACTTTGGTAAATACAATGATGATCAGTGCATAAGTGAATTAAACATCAAGAATAAAAATAATGAAATTTAAAAACTATTCAAAATCATTATACATTAAAGAGGACTGCGGGCAAATCCGTCTTAAAACTTACGTTATTAACTTCTTGGTCTTCATCTCGGCTTAATGCGTGATGATAACTGTGTCAGGTTATCACAGGGTCGTCCAAGGTACTGCTTCTTTCACCTCGTCCAAGCTGCCTCAACCTTCATTGGCTTTCATTGTTCTAAACCTGTGCTCTCTCTCTCTCTCTCTCTCTCTCTCTCTCTCTCTTGGATCTACATTCTTTTCTTTCATGGTTCTTCATTTTCTTTCATCCTTTCACGCTGGTTTATTTGATTGTTCTGTGCTATTTTCTTTCATAGTAAAACACCGTCTTCTCTCATCACCGTGTTTTTTTCCATAGTTTTACACTATTTGTTTACGCAGTTCGCTACTTTCCATTATTCTGTATCGTTTTCCTTCATCATTCAATTCCTTCTACAACATTACCAGTCAGTGCTCTTCACCTTCCCTGTAATATGACTCCGTTTTGAGAAACTCGCTTCACCTTCACTCACCTTTTTTTTTCCTTTTTTTCCACCTCATCGACACTACCTAGGGTCATGTTCGCTTCACTTTCCATCATATTCACACTCGATCTCGAGAAACAAAACATTAAAAAAAAAAAAAAACCAGGAAGGCCAAATTCTGTCAATTTTCTTTGCTTATCATTTCTTGCGAGTTTCCATGGCACTGTTTTTCTTGGCCTTCGTTACATAGCTGTGATTTATTGTTTCTGCTTTATTATGCCGACGGGGAAGCGCCAATCCCGTAAGGGGTCATGCAGCTCTTGGGCAATGGGAGGGGTGAGTGCGTATTTTCTAACATGTGTATTTCGACTAAATATACGAAAAATATAAGACAGTCCGCAGAGAGATTACTAATAACCTTCTCTATGAAAAAATAAAATACTGATGGTCTTTCTCTAGCTCCATTAGTATATAACATATACGTTACCGACAAGTTTATACTGTAAGGCGGCAGGAATGAGATATTGAACAAACTGATCGAAATGTGGATACCAGGAACGATATCAACAGAGAAATCATATGTTCGTATACAGCGAGATAACCCATTGTTAGTCAACTCTCGTCAGACAACACACCAAGAGTCACCACAACAATCTTAAGATCACTGAGACGAGCTGACGACTGATACAGTTGCCCATCTGTAAGACACACACACACACACACACACACACACACACACACACACACACACACACACACACACACAGGGTGATGGAAAGGGCAGACGTTTCAATATAGGAAAGTATAACAAGCGGGGTTCTCAAGGATCAGTACTATGACCATTACAAATTTTTATACGTAAATTACCCAGAAATTGACCCAAATGTCTCAATGTTTACCGATGACGCAAAACTAGCGAGAAAATGAGTAAGGCACGTGTGTAACACTTGAGCTACACATGTAACACTTGGGCTACACACGTGTTTTACTCACCTGAAAAGGTTTCCTGTGTGTAGTGAGCTGCTTCAGCAGAATACAGGCGAACGTAACCCCGGAGACGGCGGCAGTAGTTGTGAGGTAATCAGCTCCTTAGCCTCTTAAGTAGGTGGTCAGTCCCTCAGCCTTGGTAGGTGGTCAGTCCTTCAAGCCTGCTCAGTCCCTCAGGCTTGATAGGAGGTAGTTAGTCCCTCAAGCCTGGTAGGTGGTGGTTAGTCCCTGAAGCATGCTTAGTCCCTCAGGCTTGAGGATAAGGGACTGATCACCTCAAAACTGCATCTACTGTCTCCAGTGTCGTGTTCACCTGCATTTGACTGACGAAACCTCTTGCATAGGCGAAACATTTCGGCAATAAAGATACACATGTGTTGCTCATTTGTCTTATCCATCAGTTTCTCGGTACTGTATGTCATCAATAATATGATAGGGACGAGAAGAATACAAATTGAAAAGGAGAGAGAGAGAGAGAGAGAGAGAGAGAGAGAGAGAGAGGAGAGAGAGAGAGAGAGAGAGAGAGAGATCGACAAACTGCGAGAATGGTCAAAGAAGTGGCTACTAGAGTTCAACAGAAGCAAGTACATAGTCATTATAATTGCAAGAGAAATGAAGAGAGACTACCAGACACGGAATACAGCTCAAGAGGCGATAAATTGCAAATATCGCTCTGGAAGAAGGATCTTGGAGTTAGGATCACACCCAACATATCAAAAGAGCTCATAAATAAAATAAAATCTGCAGCATATGAGAGGCTAATTAATTTCAGAACTGTCTTCAGTAACCTTAATAAAGAATCTTGTAGGACTTTCTACTCGACATTATGCCAGTCTATCATGGAGGATTCAGCACCAGCATGGAGCCTTCACCTGATCAAGCATGTTTGAAAACTAGAAAAGATCCAAAGATTTCCAACAAAACTAGTCCCAGAACTGAGAAAATTGAGTTATGAGCAGAAACTAAAGAAATCGAGACTGACGCCTTTAGGACTAGAAGACATATGATTACGACATGCACGATACTCAAAGGCATTGGCAGAGTAGACAGGGACAAATTTGTTTTGAAATGAGAGGCACTGAGGGCGATGGGTCATAGATGGAAAGTAAAGACACAGATGAACCTCAGGGATGCTAGGAAATACTTTTTCGGTCTTAGATTGGTAAGCGGAGAGACCTTCAGGGAACAATAGTGCCGGCGATTGTGGTTTAAGAGGTCGGACCAAGAGTCGAGATTCGACCCCGCAAACACAACTCGGAGAGTGCACACACACTCACTATGATATTAGTGATCAAATGCCGAAAATACAACAAAAATGACAGATAAAGTACTATTATTATTATAATTATTATATTTAAAAGGAAGTACTAAACCGCATAAAGAGCTTGGAGGCATGCGAGGCATTCAAGTCCAATCCAAAGAGGAGAGCGGGTTCCAGTTCTGGGAAGAGCTGTAGCAAGAACGGCGCTCATGAGGATCGCTTAAAATAATGTGATGCTTCCCGAGGTTCTTACGTAGCAGATTATGAGACAGCCTCTCTAGATCACAGTGGAAGTCCACACGTTCACCCTGACACTAGTTTCAAAACAGAAAAAAACACCTCTGCAGCAAGGGCTGAGTAAGGGCTGGGAGAGACACCACTCCCACGTGCCCTCCCAGGGCGGGGAAGGTGCCAGAGCTTGCTACCACCTGCAGCTCACGAGACTGCTATTCCCACGAGCTCCCTGGGGAGGGGAAGTTGGCAGACCAGAGGCCTAGCTTCTCCCTACGTGCCCCGTGAGGGCGGGGAATGGGGCTAGGCCTGGGGACAGTTGGACCCGGAAGATGAGGAGGTCCTTGTACCTCCTCCCATGGGAGACATAGGTCTCAGACACTCCCGAGACAGGGAACCAAGGCCGGGTCACCATCTGGAAAAGACCCGGGCCGGGAGAGTACCGGCGAATCAAGAAGGGCAAGGAGGACACGATCGAGATGTACAAACCACTCAGAGGTGTTGGTGACGACACAATTGGTTGGTAAGAAAACAAATGATTCACAGCAAACGCAGGATGTAGTACAGTGCTTAAATGAACAAGACATGTGCAACACTTCCTTACTTTAATTTCCGAAACATTTTGCCTGCTGCACCTGCTGCCCAGGCGAAACGTGGCGGAACGTGGCGGAAATAAAGATACCAAAGTGTTGTACGTGTGTCTTATTCACCTGTCGTTATTGTGCACAATTAATACAATAATGGAGCGATTAAGAAAAGGAACGGTCTGGACGAGGACATGGAGGAAGCAGCTTCCAAACAACATAAGTAATTTTAAACAATTGAGATAAAAAGGCGAGGAACTTAGACTAGAGCCCCCAAACTACAATTGGGTGAGTATAAGTGGAACGCTCTTAGTGAGGAAGTGGTAGAGGCAGAGTACATGCAAGTGTAAGAGAAAGTATGATAATGTCCACGAATCCTGGAACGCTGAATCACCAGTCGCGAGTAGTAGAGATGCATGAGCCACGAACCAGTGTTCTACCCCCGCAGCCAAGAGACAAGCACAAATAGGCGAGTACAAGTAGGTAAATACAAATAGGTTAGTACACGAGTTATAAATCACCGAAATATTTACATCATGTTTTTAATGTAAATTAAATACTGAGGGCGGGAGACGAAGAGCAAAGCGCCGTTCCTGTAGATACAAAAGGCTTCCAACAGAAATATCTTGGCCGAACAGGCAATCAACAGAGAATTCTGGCGGCAGGTCGGGCTGCCAGAGTAGAAAAAGGTCTGGAAACCAGTCACAGGCATATTTCAGGCATCTAATCACGTGAAGGTACGCAGCTCTTGTTTTCAAGGCCACCCTTTACATCCAGCAAACCCCCAACATATCCCTCCCTCAACCCCTCCCCCCCTCTCTCTCCTTCCGACAACCCCATTTTCCTTTTCGACTACCCCCTCCCCCCGTCCTCCCTTCCCTCTTGTTTTCCATCCAATCCGTATTAACTTATTGATCGCAAACTCAAGTTCTTCTGGAAGGAAACCTTTGATACCTCCGTTCAAAGTGAAACTTAAATAGAAAACTTGATGATATTCTGATTGTCTTAAGTGCCCCAGCCTCAGGCTCACAGATTTCAACGCAAATATACGAGATCCATCTTGTGTGATGGAATATAACAGGGAAGCACGATTATTTAGGTACAAGTACACGTAAGTACAGTAACACAAATTTAGGTGACTCCAGTTATCCTGTCAGACACTGCAACTTCTTAGGAGCTGTGACTCGGCACCTGCAACCACAAATAGCCGAGTACGCACACAAGTGTCATCAAACAGGGTTTCCAGTTTTAACGTAGATCCCCTTTTCGTCTCCTAGAAGCACACTTCCACAAATGTCCGTCGCTCTACATAACACAAAGACAGAGAAAAAGAAAATTTCAGTGGGTATTCCCATGGGCTGGGCCGCACACATCCTTCTCCCACTGACGTACAGTGACCCACTTGTGAAATATATCACACGTGCAGGGTTACGGTGTTTTAATGAGGAAACATTTCCAGCCATTAACTGCTTTTTCAGCTTTCCTTCAGGACTGAAAAAATAATTCGCGCGAAATGTTCCCACATAAAACATGTTAACACTGCACATGTTGATGAATGAGACACAAGTACAACACAATGTACTCAAGTGTTGCACAAATCTCTCGTTCATCAATTTATCGGTTCTCTGAACCATTTATAAACACCGCTCACGTCTTGCTTTACACTTGTCTGTATTTTATTACATATTCATTCTATCATTCACTGTCTTGGCAGTACACAAATATCCCATTCACCATTCAATGCCCCTCAGAACTGAAACATCCCCTGCCACTGTCTTGGCAGTACACAAATATCCCATTCACCATTCAATGCCCCTCAGAACTGAAACATCCCCTGCCCCTGTACATTCATGGAGAAGCGCTAAACCTTACACCATACAGTGCATAGAGAATGTGAGGCCATCAAGTTTGATCCCAGAAAAGTGAGAGCAGCTCCAGT